GGGGGGGGTGCCATGACTTTTGCACAGTACTGTATATTCATGAAAGAATAGCTAAACTTCAGAGAAATTACAGTGACTAGCTTTACTAGCAAACCAAGCTGCAGGGTGAACATTGAAAAGCTTCCTATCACCCATAGAGTGCACTGCGTAGGGAGTTGGAACGCATTTGGGATTCGGCTTTCCGATCGTTCCCGCATTGAACGCCTCTCAGAGAGGAGGCTGGAGGAAAACCCTGATAATCTGATATAACACTACAGCGCAGCGCAGGCTGCACAACAAAATACTGATAAATCTCTCACCATGAGGCCAGACACAGAGAAGTCTAAACTCTAAACATACACTAAACATCAGATCAGTGGTGAAACTCATAAATTATTCATCCAAAACTCAATAAACATCACATGAGGATTGAGCAAAAATGATAAAATCGCTCCTGACATGCCGTGCTCTGGGACCTGGCCGTGTACCACAGAGCTGAATTAATGAGTTACCATAAATTTGGCCTCAATCTGTAGAAACTCTCAGGTGAGTTAAGAAAAAAAAAATTGAACCCGTTAGCTTCCTGCCCATTGAATTCGTAGCGGCTCTGTGGGATTTCCCTCAGGATGGAGCTACACACACTGCAGCCTGAATCCTTGAAATAAACAAGGACTGAAAATCATATGGATCTGAACAATACAGCCCTATTATAGATCAGATGCAACTCGAGCCAAGGTCCAAACAACAGAACACTCATTTATCAAATAAAACACACCCCGAAGACTGACCCGGACCAGGACAGGAAGAGAATATAAAACATATCCTCAATACATCACATCTAAAAAAGCGTTGACCTGAAAGCATCTGGTTACACTGAGGTGAGAAAAATAATAATATATAAAGCCACCAGTTACAGGATACCTCTAAAAAAACACACATATGGATCCTTATTTTATTTCCTTTCAAAAAAAAAAAAATTCAAATGTCACATTTTCTGGACTACAGGACACTGCAACATTTCCTATAACTGCCATATTCATATAGCATGCATGAAGTCTTATAATACCTGCCATAAGCCTGAATAAATGCTCATTAGCAGTTACTGTGTCATTTAACACACTGTATAAAGCAGGGGTACATGAGTTTATTATAATATCTTCATAATGCATTCTAAAGTATTTACAACATGTCATATGGCATTCATAGTACTTTGTAATAAGCCTGCATAAATGCCATTAGTATTTACAGTCACATTCATACCACTTTATAAAGCATGAATACATGACTTCAGTATGGCAGTTTACATAATGCATTCTAAAAGTGCCACTTAGCATAGATAATATGTTATAATGCCTGGCATAAGCATGAACAAATGCGCGGAATTACATTCGTAACACGTTATAAAGCATATGACAGATTTGTGACAGGTTATAATATCTTCATATATATCTTCATAATGCAGTTGAAATGGATTAAAGTGTCCTATAGGAATGTATAGTGCTGTATAATGCTGGACGTAAGCCTGTATAAATGCTCATTAATAGATAAGGTTACATGCATAACACTTTACAAATACGAGTACAGAATTAACGCAGATAAATCTGTTCACGCTGTAACCATGACAACACTCTTACCAGTCCTAGCTATTATTTAACTGACTAGAT